TAAAAAGCCTATCAGATTTGACGAATAGGATTTCCCTTTCATAAATCCATTTGACTCTGTACAATCTGATTTTTTTTAAATATCCAGGAATCACATCCTTGATAATAGATTCCTGTGTTTTCCTTATTAGCGATGTCAGGATGACAGGTTTTCTCTCACTCCCTTACTCCTTTCTTAAGCAATGGGATAATGTTTGAAACCTTTCCATCTGCAGGTACTGTTGCAAAATTAATAGAATTTGTAAGATGATTGCTAATGTATCTATTATCTTCCTAACCGTAATTCTTTCAATGCCGCAGGGTTATAGCCATCAAGTCATAAGGATTTTTCAGCTTTCAATCCCACTAATTTCTCCAATGCAATCTTTTGTACTAATACTCGTTTCTTTCAATTCCATACTTTCACAAGATCCTTGGATTCTAAATATTTCAGGGAGACTTCTTGACCTCTGTGACGACAGACACAAAGTAGTTTTTTTTAACTTCCCTGCCATTTCTCTATTTCCTATTATTAATTCTCCCATGTCTGCCTGTACTGAGTCTATATTTGCCTTTGTTAATCTTTCCTTTTGACGTACCTGTATAAACTTGAATTTTTTTTAATATGTTACCTATGAATTTACATGTATATTTTAGTCTTTCTTTATCAATTTCATGGTCCACATTAGCTGAATTCTAAAATTTTCTCAATCCTCAGCCTTATGACTTTTCTTTGACAACTTTACAAGTCTCCTCATTTGATCTAGTACGGTCTTTGACTTCACTCGTTAGCCAAGGCTCTCTTGCATTTGCTATTGTCTTAAAGGAATGTACTTTCTAAAAAACAACTAAGTCCTAATTCCTTAAATGATAACCGCTATCTACTGTCACGGTTTTTAGTGTAATTTTCCAATCATCCACTGCCAACTTCCTCCTCACAACTTCATAATTGTCCTTGTTTTGATTTAAAACTATGGTTTCAGGATGAACAACATCATTTTAAAACATGATGGAAGATTCTATCATTCAATAGTTGCTATTACTGAAATGTTCTGTCCACCGAGATTATTAATTAATCTTTTCTCATTGCATAATATCAAATTTAAAAAATAATTTGTGCCTTAATTGATTCCTCAACATATTGCTCCATAAGACTATCTCAACGTCATTTCAGAAATTCTTCTTCAACAGCATGTGCAGTTTGCAGTCACCAATGATACCCCTTGCTACATGCACCGCTATTTTCCTGATTTATACTATGCCCTGCATTGTTGCTACTGTTTGGTGACCTATAAATAACTTCTACCAATGTTTGTTCCCCTTCTTGTTTCTTAGCTCTAATCAAACAAATTCCACATCCTGTTCTTCCAATTAGATATTCTGTCTCTAATACACTGATCCTATCCGTTATTTTTGACACCACACTATGCTCTTTTTGCCTATCCTTCCTAAATGCTGATTATCTTTTAATATTCTGTCCCTTTTCTTGTTCACCTTGCAGCCATGTCTCTGTAATGGCAATTAAACCATGCTCTTTGACTTCTACTGGCACTATCAATTATCTTGTCATGAATACTGTCTATATTCATATAGAGTGCTTTTAATTCTACCTCTTTCATGCTATTCCATAAATTGATGTTGGTTGATTCCAGGATTTTTTTTCTACATTTCCCACTTTCATTCTCAGTTGTTATACTTTCCATTATCAGCTTCAATTTTATTCTCTCTGAAACACATCTCAGTTTGTCATCCCCCTGACAAACTCGTTTATATTCTCCCCAAAAGCACTAGCCATTCTCCCTCTAAGGATATTTATCCCAGTCCTGCTAAGGTGTAAGCATCCTCCTTGTGTAGATCCCACCTGCACTAGAACCAGTTCCAATGTTCCAGAAATATAAAGCCTTCTCTCTTGCACATTTTTCCAGCCAATTGTTCAGTCATTCAATATTCTATTTCTAAACTTAGCAGCATGTGGTATTGGAAGCAATCTTGAGATTGCTGCCTTAGATATCCTGCTACAGTCTCTAACTCCTTAAATTCTACTTTCAAGACCTAATTTCTCTGTCTATCTGTACAATTGGTGTCAAAGGGGACCATGAGCTCTGACTCTTTATCCTCCCTGAGAAGAACATCCTGCTTGTGGTATCTTTGACTTTGGCACCAAGGAAGCATCATATTGTTTGGAGTCACATCCACGGTCAGTGAAACGCCCTGTCCGTTTTTTCTTTTATTGAATTATTTTTCCTAATCAACCCTGTTCAGGGATGTCATTACAAACCTCTGGAACAGGTGAGACTTGAATCTGGGCCTCCCTGGTTCTGTCCCACAAAGTTCCAAAACAATGCAACAGCTTATAAAACAGCAATTACTGCTTCTCAAATTCAAGGAAATCAGTTCCAATACTTAAAATACCTCACAAAAGGAAGAGGCTCTACAGCCACAATTTTCTCCCATCCTCCATGGTGGATTACCCAGAATCCTTTTTGTTATATTTTGTGTTTCCTTCGTCCAACAATGCCAATAGTTTTCCAGAAATTTCAATTAATTCATTGGACATGACTTTCCCTTCAAGAATCCAGTTTAGATTTTGGTTATTGCTTTCAGTGCTGATAAATGACCTTGAAATGTCTACATTGCAGTGCATTACTGAATCTTTAGCATTATCAGTGTTAAGCCAACTGTACCATAATTCTTTGGTTCACTGTCCTTTGATGAAGATTGAAATCATATTCATTTATTTTCAATGCCCCTCCTATTATATATGATACAAGCACTCAACTAGCAATACTCAAGCTTCACTTTCCTTAACTTCCTCAAGATACTTGTAAATGATGATCAAAATAAACTCTTCAAAGGATTTCTGTACAATTAAGATTTGTGGGATGTATGAGCTAGTTTGGCTATCAAACAAACAAGGAGCATTGAATTTGTTAATTTCTTGATCATTGTACAGTGACCTCTGCATTGCTATCCAGCATATATAGGTGAATTAACATCATGGGGTGCACCTATTCGGGCAACAAGCTAAAAGAGTAGAAATTACCAAGGGTTCCAGAAGCAGGCAAGATCCCACTGAATTCCACATTTAACTGAAAGGTTGCTATAGACCTGGATAAACATTGGCAATCCAGTTTTCCTCCTCATGTGCTATTTAATGGCACAAAGAAACATTGCTCATGACACATCACTGGCGTGGCTGACACTGCCTCACACAACCAACCTCATTCACCAATACTCTGGCTCTAGCGATGACGAGATATCCTACATCTAGTCATCATCCAGGAGGTGAACATCACATGCAGGCAACAAATCAGACAATTCCAAACATGAGCTATTATTTATAGCCAGCAAATCAAACACAAACAAAAGATATTGACACTGCAGTTCACTCCCGTGTTGCAAAACCAAATGGTGGCTTTATGACCAAGAAATGTTTTAAAGTCAATGATGCTCCCAGCTCTCATCTGGAACTGGGTGTCAATCAGGTCCTGCCTGGCTAGTAGTACAGCTGAGCTCTGTTATAAACAAAGAGAGTGTCTTTCTCCGCAACATCCTCAGCCACTGCCTCATAAGACAGCTCCCATTCCCCTGGGTCCTAAGCATTTCTCACATTCACTGTCAGCATCATTTACATAGCTTCTGAACTGAGGCGGATGGGGAGAGAGACAGATGCTCCTGCCAAAGCTCCTCTTCTCCGTAATTTCTTTTTCTTTGTTTTCCCTTTCTTTTCACTTTTTCTCCCCCTTTCTGCATGAAGGGAAGAGACGAGCTGGCAAGGCCTGGAGGCAAACTCTGGAGCAAAGATCGGCATGTAGACCCCTAGGCAGCAGCTGATGCAGGGGAATCAGTCACGGTGCAGTGAGTGACACAGAGGGGGGAAACAGTCCCGGTGCAGTGTTTGACACTGAGGGGGGAAACAGTCCCGGTGCAGTGAGTGACAGAGAGGGGGAACAGTCCCGGTGCAGTGAGTGACACAGAGGGGGGAAACAGTCCCGGTGCAGTGAGTGACACAG